TCTCAACAACCATGCCAAAGTACTGTTTTCGGCCTTTGTTTTCACCATGATGGTTGCAAGGAAGTGAAAATCCCTTGATGTCGGTTCTCGAGAAAAGACATCTCAGTAACATAACTTCTTCCTTTATGACATGGTACATGCGCCTGAACATAGTTGTTATCGTTACTTTCATCATTTCTATCAATCAGATGATTGTGCATTCATTCATACTTTTAATGATCAATAATAAATTATATGTGCTTCATCATCATTATTATTATCTGTTTCTCATCATGATTACACTGTCTTCTATCACTCATTATTTCTCATCTATCACTGGTACCAGAATGTAAGTTTCTCATCTGTCTCCGTGCAGACATCTCTACATTCCTCACTATGTCTTGCACATTGTAGTTTACATCTTCACATCACTCATCTGGTTTTGCATGCTAGTTGCAATTTTTTGAAATATTTCTAGGAATTTTTGCATGGTGTTTTCTTTTCTCATTTTGTTTTTACTTTCTGGATATATTTTTGTGTTATAATCTGAAAGTAATATAGCCACCAGTTTGGTGTTATGAATCACACTCATTACTTTCAAGATATAGTATAGTTAATAATAGAACGTATTGTATTGACCCACTGAAAGATATTAACCTGCTATTATCAACTGCGACTGCATAATGACCTGGAATAATCAGTATTAACCTAAATTACCTGATATTAACCTGTAACTGCATATTGACCTGCAATTATCAATATTGACCCACAACTGCATAATGACCTGGAATAATCAGTATTGACTTAAATTACCTGATATTGACCTACAACTGCATATTGACCTGCAATTGTCAATATTGACTACAATATCTGATGATATTGATCTACAATACAGAATGATATAGACTTGCAACTGCATTATATTTACCTACAACTGCATGATATTGACCTACAACTGCATGATATTGACCTACAACTGCATGATATTGACCTGCATTACTGTTGTATTTCACAGAGAGGAGCCAATAGACTATGGTGAGCTTGAATCTTCTATCAGAAAACAATGTAATAAACTGAGTCTAAAAGATGTTGACGGGTTCGTCACTAAATGCATTCAGTTGTATGAAACCACAGTTGTGAGGCATGGTCTTATGATGGTTGGACCAGCTGGCTCTGGCAAGACTAGGGTAAGTAACTCTGTTCCTGTAATGTTATACAACATATGTATATCCAATATGTGTATCCATTTAGCTGTGTGTCAATGACAATG